TCCGCTTGAGGCTAGATATATATATATATATATATATATATATATATATATATATATAGTAGTCATCGATATCTTAATCAATATTCTCTATCATATCTATCATCGAATATTACATATACCGGCATTATATATATTTTTTCTCTAAATATTCATGTATATGTATACTGTATACATATATATTTCTCTATGTATATGTATATATGTGTATGTATATATTTCCTAAAAAAATTTGTGTATTATTTGTACATATCCAATTTATTCAACTTAAATGATTCGAGAAATGCTTCTTAATTCTTTTTTTTTTTTTGGTCCTGCTTGATGTTATATTTACTATGACGGAGTAATCAGAGTCCTAAATTTGGTCCTTCGCTTTTTTTTTTCTTCTCTCTTTTTCTCTCTCTTTCCCGTGAGGCGGCTAGAGTTTTGAATTTAAGAGCTCTTCTTAGAGCCAGAGTTTGGCACCGTCACTAATTAGTCGCTAGACTCTTGGCCCTTGAGAAGGTGGCTGAGGTTGTGCAAGTGTGATCGGTGGTTGATGAGTGCGGTCTATTGATGATGGAGGCGTGGATCTGGTGAATTAGAGTATGGTATTATCATTGTTTTGGGTCTTAGCCTCCTCATCGATATGGTTTAGAGGAGGAGTGGCAGGTGTCTTGGGGCAACTGGTACCAAAGATGCAGGCTTGACTGCTTTCGTTGGTGCGAAAACGGGATGTTGCTGGTGGATATGTGGTGTAAGAGCATCGTTCGGGTTGTTTTTCCGTCAGTTTCATCGGTGGTGGTTGTGCTTCTATTGCAAGGCTCTACTCAGATTCCATTTTTTTGACTTCTGTACAATGGTTGATGGCTTGTCGCTGTCATCTATTCCTGTATGGCTGAGGCCATTCATAAGTTTCATAGTGTTTTGAGAATTTTAATAAAGACGTTGTTTCCCTCAAATTTATGTATTGTAATAACGAATGTGGTTTCTCCACATTCCGATTTTGTTTATGTGTTCTACCTGTTTGAGTTACTTATCAATGTTGTATGTTTTATTTACGCCTAGATTTATTTTTAGGCCGTGTCGTTTGTGTCCCCAGTATTAGGGGTTTGGTTTTTGTCGACTGGTTTTATTCATCGACTGCAATGGTTCTTGTTAATGAGTTTTGGTCGTGTCCAATTTCGGTATAGTGACACTTATATTTATTTTTGTGCTTTATCCGTCTTTATTAATGAATCTAATCAATGTCTAGAATCGATTTCATTAATAAGTTGTGTCATTTACTACTATTTATGAAATTTTCCGTTAAAAATAAAAAAAGCAATCAAAATCGATATATATTATTTCCTCAGTTGAACGTGACATATTGGTCCCAAAGCAAAATTAAAACTTTCCAGAAAATGAGTTGTTAAATGCATAACTACATTAGTCTCTAGTTATTAATCAAAATTCAATTTGTAAATTCAAAACACAAAAAAGGAAAAAAAAAATCTAACAGTAAATTCAGACTTGAATCTAAATTAAACTGAAAAGTTTAGAATCTCAATCCAAAATCAACATAAAGGAAATAATAATCTAAATAAATTGTTAACAGTTCTTTCCATGAACATGGATGTAGTACTTGACACGTGGAATTTTAAATCAAATAATTAATCACATCTTTTTTTATATTAAATTTTGAATGAAACTTAAGGACTCTCGATCGTCTAACTTTTTATTCCAAGACAATGAGTACTTAACTTATAATTCCAGATCTTATTATTTTGTAATATATCCCAATGAGAAATCTTAACAAATATCTTTTAGAAGTGTATGAATCTCTTAATTAACCCTCATTTCAGTCAAATAATTATATTAATAAAAAAGTATTAATTAAGAGTAAATAGTAACAATCTAGACTCATACGCTTTATAAAGATAAATTTAACAATTTTCTATAAACTTAAACAAAAGAAAAAAAAAGTAAATTATCTGCCAGACCGATCTTTGTTACAAAAATTAATAACAGCCAGCTAAAATTATCTAATTTCTGCTTAAACAAAAGGAAAAAAAAAAGGTATTATCTTCCTCCAAACTGGCAAGAGTATGGTACTGATATTTTTTGTAATTATCCTCGTCATGCCCTCACATAGATAAACAAACTATTATCAGCTTCTTCTTTTAACCTCTCCTTTTTTTTTTTTTTTTTTCCTTTCTAATTTTCCCCAACATAAAAATATCCCTCACAACAAACCTATTTAAAACAAAAAAAAAAAAAAAAAAAAAAACTAAATCTCGATCTATAAAACATTCCAACGCATAACACAATCATCTCATTTTGTTGTCCCCCTCTAGATCTCTCTCTCTCTCTCTCTCCCTTGCCGTCGTTAATTCTTGACCGGCGAGAAAGAAGAGAGAGAGAGAGATGGACGTGTTCCGATCAAGTACTCGTCGAAATTGCGAGAAGATCATGGCCTACCAAATTGGCTCAAATTACAGAAATGGTGATCAACATGATCGTCATCATAATTGTTACGTGCCTGCGGCTAATTACAATAGTTGTTCATGTAGATCAATACAAACAAGGGCCGTCTCGTCCTCGCCGGGATTTCCGTACCCTAATTCATTGTGGCGAGGGCCGTCGTCGTCGAAGGAGAAGGAGCTGAAGAGACAACGCCGGGTTGCAAGGTACAAGGCCTACGGGGTTGAGAGTAAATTGAAGGCTAAAATAAGGAAAGGGTTTCGTTGGTTCAAGCAAAAGTGCTCTGCCCTTATCCATGGCTAATGAGACGTTTGGTTTATGAGTTCAGAATCATGATTCATGATTTTGATTTTTGAAATTCAAACTTTTTATGAGATAAAAATTCTGTAGAGAATTAAGAACTATGATGCAGAACCATATATGAATGAATCCTTAAAACAAACATCCCATAATTAAGCTACTTATGATCCATTGATGTTCATTATTTTTGGTGACCTTAATTGAAAATTGGATTTTTTTCCGCCCTGTATTGCTGATGGTTTATAATCTAATTACCAATGAAGCTTTCCGGATCATTAATCAGGAGTTGTACGTTAATATATATCTTGAGAAGGTCTAATTTTGGATTACTTTTTTCCCCCCTTTTCACATATGCTTATTTATTTAATTTGTCAATTTGATCATCTGTTTATAATTTAAAACATTTATTTATGAATCCAATTCTGAGTTAAGTACGTTGCTTGATTTTACTATGAACTTTACCTAAAAAGGATTAACATTTTATTTATTTTAAAGTAATACTCTTTGAAAAATGTTTGAATAAGTTTTTTTTTTTTTTTTCTTTTCTTGATTTGGGGAAAATTTTTGAATAAGTTAGTGATGTGGTGATGATAAAGACTGAAAGCTGAACGATTGCTCACATATATTAGTTCAGGCACAATGTAGAAAACGAATTGTCTAATTGTAAAGAAAATTCCTTTCAACCAAAAAAAAAAAAAAAAAACTTGTCTTTTTCTTCTTGAATAGCGTGTCGTATCCTTAATAAACCACATGTTCTTTGTTTACAGAACGAAAATGTCGTTTTACTATCGCAAAACGACATGTAGTTCTGTACGTCAACTTTTATAACTGTTCTTATGAGCAACTCGTCTTTTTCTTTCCCCGATAAATAACGTGTTTATTTGGACGACATCTCGGCAATAACTATAGGTTCTCAGCTTATTGAATTAGAACGATGGGACGCTCATCGTGGGATTGCAAACGACATGCCGTTCAATTTTGAGATATAAAAGTTACATGTCGTTTCTCTATGACACCAACTGACATTGAGTTTCTCTCTCAACCAAAAGCGACAAGTCGCACGTTACAACGCACTGTTGTCGGCATAAAAACTAGACAACATGTATTTTTGCAGAACATGAAAACTAAGTAGACGTTTAATTCATGAGTTTAGAATTATAATTTAAAATTATTCTTAATTTATGTGTATTTTTTGTGAGAAAAAATAGTGTAACGAGCCACAAATTATGATCTAAACCATGTCACGAATCTTTATTCTAAACGCAACAATGTCATTTCCACTTGACAAGAAACGACTTTGTGAACAACGACTCTTCGTTTTATAAGCTTCGACATATGGCTATCCGCCTTTTAGAAACACAAACACCATGTCATTTCATTCCAAACGACATGTATTTTTGCAGAATCAAAAAACCTACATTGTTTCCACTTGACAAGAAACGACGTCAACAACGTCGTGAACAATGACTCTTCGTTTCATAAACTTCGACACATGACATTCTGCCTACGAACGCCATGTTGTTTCACTCTAAACAACAATCGTCTTTTTAAAGTGTTCTTTTATTTAAGTTCCGTTCATTTCACCGATTCGAGTTTTGTTATAATAAAAAACTCTAAAAATAATCACATCTAATTTTTTTACTACAGTAAAAAATTTTCATATAAAATTACATTTCAATTTAAATTAAAAATTTAAGTCAGTAAATTAAACAAATGCTCGCTACTTTCTGAAAACTTTCTATTATCTTTATTATGGAGATCATCTCCTTCTCCCTCTAGTAGCCACGTCATTCCTCAAATTCAGGGCGCTGACGTCGGCGACAAATAGAAAGTCCACAAAGAAGGCTCATACACGTGGTTTCATATCATTGGCCATTCAACTCCGACAGCACGAATCACGGGTAACAATATCACGTTCCCCACACGATCTGAAAAGGACCACCCAAATTTCCCGTTTGGAATTTGAAATCAAAACCCTCTCTCTCTCTGTCCAAAAAGAGACGTTATAGTTCCTTTTTGTTTTTTTACTATAATTACCATTTTTCAAACAAATAATAATCAATTATATATCATTCTTAACTTGAAAAATAAAAACAAAAATAAAACAAAAAAACAAAAAAATATCATTCTCTGTATATTTCCCATTTAATGCTTTGAACAACTAAACAGAGCCTCAAAACTCTTCTTCTACTACACAGTGAGAATCTCTCTCTCTCTCTCTCTAAAAACTGTTTTTCCATTTTCGTTTGTGGGTTCAGATCTTTTGCGAAAAATCTGAATTGTTTCATTTCTCTTTTTGTGCGTGGAAAATTAATACTTCTCCGAAGAGCTTTGCTCGATGATCATTAGTTTCACGGTAAGTTCTTCTTGCTTTTGTGTTTCTGGGTTTTGTGGTTCGTTGTTACTTGTTAGTGTTTTTGGACTGATTGGTTGCCGATAGAATGCGGGATAGTGTGGTAGCTTTTCTGTGCTTTTGAGTGTGACGTTGCTGTTTGATTTGATGAGATTGAAACTCTAGGTCTGCCACATTTGTGGGATTTACGATTTTTCAGAAACAATGTAAATGATTTCAGAGGATTTTTTTTGGGAGCTTTTTGGGTATGTAAAGAAATGCACTTTTTTTTTCTTTCTTTTTTTTTTTTTTTTTCTATTCAGGAATTTAGAGAGCTGATAGCTTATACTTCATCAGTTTATGCTTAGAGTAGAAGAATTGGAATTTAGTAAAGTGGATGGGCTATTTCTTTGTGTTTCTTCTTTTTATGATCTAGAAAGTTGTGTGCTTTAATAGTCTTGATCATGTGATGAAGCCTTATTTATGGGGTTTATTATTCAAATTAAATTGGGTCAAACAATGGAACTCAATTTTTAACTGTTGGTTTAGATTTATATTAAGTTGTTTCTCTATATTGGGGAAAAAATGGTGTTTTGTGCTAAAAGAAGTAAAGATTGTGATGTTATTATTCCTTCTATTTGATCAGGTTGCAGATAGACTTTGCTGGTTGAATAAAATGTGTATTTGTTCTTATTGATTGCTTCCATCATTGATAAATGTTGAAAGAAGCATTGTTTATGAATTAGCAAAAATGGGGTTTGAGAAAGAAGGCTCAAAAAGTGGTGGGACGGGTTACGTGGGTGGTTTCTTTCAGCTCTTCGACTGGAAAGCTAAATCCAGGAAAAAATTGTTCTCAAACAAGTCAGATTTACCAGGTACAAATCCTATCCCATGTGCATTTTACAATTCCTGTTTATAGTGTTCATTAATCATGGTGGTATTTTTCATTGTGGTCAGTTTTGACTTTTATGTATTGTTTTTCTACAGAACTTTCGAAACAAGGAAAGAAAAGCGTCGGTACCTTGCCAACGACACGGCTGTCATTGGTGAGGGTTTAGCTATATTGTTCTTTATTCTTTGTTATTTGACATGTGATTGAATTTGAGACAGTTTCTTGCTGATTTCCCTTTTGCAGATAGATGAGGATGAAACTTGTGCAGGAACAAGTTTTAAAGGCGGTAGTGATTACAGCTGTGCTTCATCGGTTACAGATGAAGAAGCCTGTGGAATTAGGCCTCATAGTGTAGTAGCCAGGCTCATGGGATTAGACTCCTTACCTACTTCCAATTTTCAGGAGCAGCCCTACTCCACCCAATATTTCGATACGCGATCTTTGCAGGACGCTCATTACCGCAGGAAAAACTTCGAGTATTACCATGATCATCAGATCATGCATAGTGGGAACATGCTTAGAAAGACGGAAGGCCAAAGTTCTAGAAGCTTTGTCGAGCCGAACCCCAAGAGGACACCAAGCAGGCCAATTGAGAAGTTCCAAACTGAAGTCTTGCCTCCTAGATCGGCTAAGTCAATTCCTATAACACACCATAAACTTTTGTCTCCCATCAAGAGTCCCGGCTTTATTCCAAGTAACGATGCTCTTCACATAATGGAAGCTGCAGCGAAAATTATTGAGCCTGGACCTCAACCTACTGCCAAAGCCAAGCTGCCTTCAGTAGGGTCGTCTTCGATACCCTTGAAGGTCCAGGCTCTTAAAGAAAAAGTGGAGGCTACACAAAGAGCGCATTTAGTTGGTTCTTCTTCTGCATCCTTGAAAGAGCAAGACCTAAAAGAGAAGGTGGGAGCAGCTCACAGAACATCCAGGCTTGCTGCAGCTTCTCAAAGGCCAGTTGAGTCAAATGCAGCCAAGTATCTTAAGGGACAATCTATGAACAAGAGCTGGAATGGATCTGTTGATACATCTTTTCGGGTATCTCCTGATAAAGAAGAAGGCTCTTCTTCTGGTTTAAAGAACAAAGGAAAGTCCATTTCACTTGCCATTCAAGCAAAGGTTAATGTTCAGAGAAGAGAAGGTCTGAATTTAAGTAGCTCTAGGACCGACGTGACTGAAAAACAACAGAGTGAGGTCAAGTCAAGTCCAATCTTCAGGAGTCAGCAGAGTACTCAAAAGAATTTGACTAAGAAGCAAAGTCCTTCTGGGGTTCTTAGGCAAAACAATCAGAAGCAGAATAGCCTAATTGACAAAGAGAATTCGCTTTCAAAGCCATTGGTTTCCAACTCACAGGGAGGTCGAAAACTAGTTTCGCGGGATTCTTCTGGGCGTCAAAGAGTCTCTAATAGAGATGGTGGGAACTCGAAAATCGGATCCAGGAAGTCAGGCTTGACAGTGGATGCTGAAAAGGAAGCTCCCTATTCTAGTGCTGGGAATGGCCCTAGAAAGAAACGATCAATAGATGGCGATCGTCACTTCAACAAGAATCAGGTTGATGATAAAACTTTAAATGCCAAAAGTCAGAAGCCAGTACAATCTAATCCTGTTACTGATGGATTCTACAATTGGACCGAAGACGGCAGAAGGAAGGGCACGGAGGTTGTTTCTTTCACATTCACGGCCCCACTTACTAGATCACTTCCCGGTTCTGAGAGCTCTGGTAAAAGGATGTTGTTTGACTCGGAGAGTATGAAGTTATCTTCAATGGGATACAATGTCATTGGTAGTGATTCTTTCAGTATGCTTTTGGAAGAAAAGTTAAGAGAATTAACTTTCGGACTAGAGTTGTCTAGCCTTGGTTCTGCAAAAGGAGTGTCAGCTTCTAGTTCATCATCGAAGTCGAGTTTAGAAAATGTTATGCCTACTCTTGATGCAGTTAGTGCCACACCAAGGGTCAATGAGCAAAGAGACCAACATCTGTTGTTTAACAAAGACAAATTTGATGGCCAATATGATTTTGAATTTTCCACCATTGGTCCTCCATCCAGATTCAAACAAAAGTTTCAGGTATATGATCCTGATCAATTCTACATACGTTATGCTCTATAATCTCTTCCTTTCAACTAGTTGCTTTGCAGCATTTAATCTGTCTGCAACTGAAACGATATACTATTTTCAGGGAATTAGTGAGATGGACGAGAGTAGCACTAGTCAATTTGAAGGTGGAAAGTTGCGCAATTGCCGGCATCCTAGTCCAGTCTCTATTTTGGAACATTCATTTTCAAATGAAAGTTGTGACTCTTCACTTACCACAGAGAGTAATATTAGCACAGGAGGTATAAGAAGCATAGTTCTTCATATATGACAATTGTCTTTTTTTGAAAATTTAGTTTTGTTTTCTTATATATTTTTTTGGGGGTTCAATGTTAACTTTTTCAGGAAGCAGGTTGTCTTCATCTGTTCAAGCTCAGGAAGTCGAGACCGTGAAGTTTTCAAAAAAGTTTAATCTGATGGATGAGTTATCGGATTCAGCCTCTTCAACGTCTACTGTTACTACTTCTACTATGGCCAGAAAGCATGCGAGGACTGATCTTTCCAAAACAACTGAATGGGAACTAGAATATGTGAAGGAGGTATTATTTAACGTGGAGTTAATGTTCAAGGATTTTGCATTAGGCCGTTCCCGAGATATCATAAACCCTCACCTCTTCAATCTTATGGAGAGTAGAAGAGGATCATTGAAAAGCTATTATGATGTTGAGACTCGGCTGAGAAGGAAGGTGTTGTTCGACAGCGTGAGCGAGTGCTTGGACTTGAGATACCGTCGTTGCGCGAGTGGTGGGTACGGGATGTGGGCGAAAGGAGTGGCAATGATGAGAAGGAAGGAGTGGTTAGCTGAAGAAGTTTACAAGGAAATCTCAGGGTGGGAGAGCATGGGAGATTCAATGGTGGATGAGCTTGTGGACAAGGATATGAGCAACCAATATGGGAAGTGGCTGGATTTTGAAGTTGAGGCATTTGAACTTGGTGCAGAGATTGAGGCTCAAATATGTGATTCATTTATAGATGAAATTGTTGCTGATTTGGTACTTTTTTAGAATTGCCTTTGATTTGATTATTCTTATTCTTTTCTGCTCCCCACCACAAGTGTAAGTTTCCACAATATTTGTTTCTTTTCTCTCCCGGATCTTGTAATTTTTGGATTCTTGATTTGTAATCCTGAGTTCTTGCCCTTTTTTTCTTTTGTGATTAAAATCGCTTTGTTCGTCATCTTAATTTTGTTTATTTAATCAATTACTTCCAGAGCAGCCTTTCTCTAATGGGAAAGTGCTGATATGTTTATTTAGCAAAATAGTATAAAAAAAAAAATTTCATGTCTCTGAAGCTTTAAACATAATAGCAACTTGGTCTAATAACAATACAAAATTTTTCTGTTTTTTAATTATTCGTGAGCTTCAATCTTGCTTCTTCAAATTTGTTATGATTTGGCAAACAAACTCTTTTCTTTTTTTTTTTTTTTTTTTTTTTTTTTTTTTTTGGTTAAATGGACAAACTCAATTTTGTCGTCAACCATAAACGTGTTAGTTTTATATGTTTTGCCAAAACAACACTTACTACATAAGGATTGTAAAAACATGCAAGGGAATAAACTTAAACCCGTGTTGTAAGTTTATTCAGAAAGTATACTAAACACATTTGTAGTAAAAATTTGAAATTAATATTTCTGAAGATAGAAATGAAAGTGTGGGACTCTCAAAATGACTTGTTCACAGAGAAATATGTTGCTTTCTTTCTTATTGGGGAAAGGAGATAAGTATATTTTAAAGTGCATGAGTCTAGATTTTCTATTTACTCTTGATTAATATCATTTTAGTCGAATAACTATATTAGTCGAAGGGTACTGATCAAGAATAAGGTATAAAGGTCTAGACGTATGCACACTAAGGATACGTTCAACAATTTTTTCTTGCATATTTGGAGTGCCAAAGTGGTTTTTTCTGCATCCTCCAATGTCTAATTTTCTTCAATGCACAAGACGTGGATATGCTTTAAACAACATAATATTCTTAGCCCATCAAACTGAGAGAGGGCATGCCAATTTCCATGAGATACAAGGAATCAGCCAAAGGCCCACAAAGGTCCAACGAAAGAACAAATAACTTGAAATTGTCAATGACAGACACTTAACATACTAGAAGTAGACTGAAGACCAAAGAAGGATGTATGGAAAGTTTGGAAATCAGTTCACATACATGCTGAAAAAGTAATGATCAGTGACAGATAAATAGACTGCAAAACTAATGGATTTTCAATTTCCAAAACTCCCTTTTAAGACAGTCGTCATCGATCGGGGTTAATCACGCGAAGCACTACGCTGCTAAGAACCATAACTAATAGAAAGTGAGTCCTATCTATCTATCAATCTCATGCTGTGGGTCCTACCTTCTATCAGTGTGTAGTGCATTACTCTGGCTAGTTTTGAAAGATCTCTAGTTGTGTTTTTGCGCAACTTGAAGTACTTTCTCCGCAGGGTCGTTTCCTAGATATCCTCCAGTGATGCCACTTTCCCATAAAGAAAACACACTCTCCCCTTCATAATCTGATAAGTCCCATACGTTGTTATCATTATGGCTCTCAACAAAACATTCCCAATTCCAATCAAGCCAGCTTCCATCACCATCAAAGCCTGAATTCATTGCTGAAGAGCAAAAAGTGTGCCATTCCCCACTCTGGTCTCCATTTGATCTACTCAAACTGCTGCTTCTCTCCTTTGTTGCCTCATTACTTAAATCCCTTTTCACTTCCTCACTTTCTCTCCCTTCATTGGCTGTACAACTCTCATTCACACATTCTTTCTGCTCTTTAAGGGCAATATCCCCACTTGGCTGATCCAAAACCCCACCTTTAATAACACAATTAAGGCTCTTCACTTCCCTGTCTACGCATTCATTTGGTCCCAACTTCTCCTTTTCTTCACTTTGAGTTTGTTTTTCACTACAATCTGTGCCATTTTCCTGTTCTTTTGTTCCCAAGGAATAGTTCTCCAAACCCAATAACTTGCTCTTCTCAACTTTTCCTAAATTGGTACCAGGAAAAATACTAGTATTTGGTTTTTGATCTGTGGCTAATGATTCAACTACCTGATGATGATCAGGAACTGTCATGAGATGACCAGTCTCTGGCTTTATTGGGGACATTTTTGCAGTTGAGTCTGTATTCATGTTCTTGTGCATTTTCGCTGCTGATCGGCGTGTTCGGGCACTGCCACTTCTGCGGTTTCGAGCAGCTAACTTTGTGATGTTGTTCAGGACCATTGTTGATGATTCTTTTCCAAGCTGCTTGCTGAAGCTGTAACTTTTTCTGCTCAGATGAGAATTCCAGTAGTTCTTTATCTCATTGTCAGTTCTTCCCGGTAAATGCTCGGCTATCAATGACCATCTACAACATTAAAAAGTTCCAAAATCATCAAAACAAATGAGCAATTCTTCTTTTTTACACATCAAAAAGGACAAAGGAAAATAGCAATATTTACTGGGTAGGTCCATTAGAGAACAGTACTAGTATGTAATTTCAATAAGTGGATAATGACATTTTGTTTCAATCTTCAAATATCATCTACTGATGAATTACTAGACATAGTACAAAGAGCAATACTAAAAGTCTAAAAGACATAAACAACACTAGTGGCGTTGAGCACCATAAACTAATAAAAGGTAGATTCAGTAGCATAGGACCCACAAATGGGTTCCATTTTCTATCAGCGATGGTGTGCATGATCATTTTTCTAGTACAAATCTCTTGGGAAAGTTATAGCAGGCAGGGCTGATACATCACTTCATTTGTGGTCCTAACTAGCTATAATTACTGAAATTATTAGGAGGCAGTGTGGCTTATAAAAGGGTACAGTTGGTGGATTGCCAGAAGATAACAGAAATCAGAATATGCTAAAAAGGTCACAATTATTATATCAATGCCATTATAATCATATCACCTTTTCAAGGTTTCTACAAAAAAAAAAGTTCTGAAAAGCAATCTCAAAATGGCTACTAGGGGAAGAAAAATGT